TGACCATCCCCAGAAAGCCATACAATTGTCAACAGTTAGTAGGGGTGGCCACATGGTGAATAATTTCTTCTCAGTTAGGGAGCAAATTTCAAGAGTCTTGGAGAGTTCAAATCCTAACCATTTAACAGTCTCTTAGCAGATATGTGCTTTTCCTTACAGACTGTATTTTCTCTACCAACCAAGAAATTTAAGATCTGAACAGCATTTTCACTAGCAGCTTCTTTGTTCTTACTTGCAACCAAAATGTCATCTACATTTTATAGGAGGATTCCTTCTTCCAGCTGAAAATACCTTAAGTCTCTGGCTAGTATTCATCCAAAGACTGTTCACAAGTTCTTAAACCCTATGGAAGCACAGTCCTGTAAAATTGTCATTTGGGTCCTGCCATTCTTCTGGTAGGATACAGGAAAAGGCATCCTTTCTGTTTAGTACAGTGAACCAACATAGGTCTCCTGACAGAGCAGTCAGGAGAGTACAGTAGCTGGGGAAAACTGGGTATACATTTTACACTGTTTGATTGAGAGCCCTGGGGTTTGGCACAAACCAATATTCTTTAGAGTTAAGCTTTTGCACCAAGAGGATAGGCATATTATATGGGGAAGAGCATGGTCTCATTAGAAGACTATCCTAAGTGTTTGTGTTCCTTTTTGTCTCTTCTTTAAGGGATGGTGTTTGAGGTTACATATAGTATATCATAGCTTTCCTTTAGTAGCAGGCATGGTAGTTTGGACACAGTCTCACTTTTTCAGTTCAAGATGCCTTTTGATTCCTCCAAGGGGTTTGTGAATTATTCTATAGCAAGAGCATCCAATTGTGCAGTCTGTACAGGGAAACTCCTATTTCTAGCCAGTGCACTGAAAAAGTTACCTGAGAGTTTAGCTTGCAAATTAGTCATTGCCAGTAGAAGAACTGGGCCATCAGGCATGTACAGAAAGCTGTAGTTTAGGTTCATTTCATCAAAGGCTGGATTCCAAAGGCTACAGGAAAGGTTAGGCTAAACCTTCACCACACCCTGTTACAGTCATATGGTTTTTGAATGAGGAGTTATGTATATGGTGATGACAAACTAAGAAGCCCTCATATGTACAAGAAAGTCATTGATTTGTAACTGAAGCTCTTACAATAATACAGTGAGAAGTTGTGTTAAATCAAAGGGAGCAGCTGGACTTTTTCATTTTCTTTTGAGAAATTTATCTTTTTAGTTCCATTTGGGTGGTAGAATTCTTTATTTTCCCAACTCTTTCAACTTCTTCAGTTTTGGACAATTTAATCCAATGTCTTTCTTCCTTGTAGTAACTATATTGATTTATTTTTCCTGAAAAGTGATTAATTTTACTTACTTTTGTTGGGATCTTCTAATAATGTTTTCCATTTTTTTCCCTTTGGAGTTTTGAGTGAGAGCTACTACGAGCAGGGAATCCTGTTGCTTCATTTCTTTTGTTTGATTGTTTTTGTTTTTGTCCCTTCAAATGATATGCTGGATCTGTGTTATTACAAACTTTAAAACCACACTAAACAAACAACTGATTCCACAGGAAGAACAACAAAAGGGTAAAGTCCAACAAATCCATACACTTCCTGAACAAGGGTCACTGTCAAATTGTGCCAAGGGCTCCCTGTACATGGAACCCAAGAGACTGAATACAAATACAAAGAGAATTCTGCAGTTGAATGTCATGAGGCAATTCACTTAAGTGTCTCAAATCGAAACCTAGGGCCAGATGAATAACTCAGTAATAGAGCACTTGCCTAGCATGCACAAGGCTCTGGGTGAAATCCCATCACTACAAAAGAGGTGAGAGGGAAGGAGGAAGAAAGGAAGCAGAGGAGGGAGGGAGGGAGAGAGGGAAGGAAGGAAGGAAGGAAGGAAGGAAGGAAGGAAGGAAGGAAGGAAGGAAGGAAAGAAAAGAAGGTAGGAAAGAGGGAGAAATGGATGAACCAAAGCTTAGAGGTTTCCCTTCTCCAAGTTATTTTGTACTAACTGTGGTCAATACCACCTATGAAGACAATCCAGGGGCATCCCTAGATCAGTGCCGTAGTGATACAACTTGCTATCAAGGTGTCTACACAAGCTCTTTGCTGACTCACCAAATCTTGTCACAAAGCCCCCAAAGCAAAATTATGTGCCCAATGTGCAGTAAATACAAAACATCAAACATCAGTGCTTAGAGTAGAGAAAGTTTAATCAAGAAGGTATCAAGAAGGAGAAAGAACTGAAAGCCACCTTCCCCCAGCAAGCATATTGTAAATTATATAAAGGAAAAAGGTGCAGGAGAGTTCAGGGAGTGAATAGATTGTTTCACAAGTTTTGATAAAATCAAGGTTTTCAGATTTCTTGATGTTAGCAGACCACCAAGCAACATATAATTCTGCAAATCAAGCTAGCAGGTTACCTATGACACCTTTAGCTCCTTGTTCTACAATAAGTATGCTGAGGTGAGCAATGATAATTGATACTTAAAGGAACAGCAACAAGGAGCACGTGTTTGGGGTCTGTTTAACTTGACCAGAGGAAAGAATATACTTTGTTTTAAAAATTAGCTAGTGAGGGAGGATAGTCCAAGCCTCTTACAAGACAAAACATTTTATTAATTTCATTATAGGGGCTTGTTTACAAGAGCTTCGTATAGTTCTCAGCAATGTATTCTTTGCTTGACCACAGGTACTGTTCTATATTAAGCAGCCTGAGTGACCTTTTAAAAGGGGAAATAGTATCATTCCTTTTCCATACTGAGGACCTTGCAATAGATTTCTTAAAAAAAAATCCAAACTTCTCCTTTATGTAATATTATCTCCCATACACTTGGCCTGGGTCACTCTGCTCCAGCCTTGATGGCCTTCGGGTTATCTATGTCTCTAGTCTACTAGAGTTGGTTGGATTTTTTGGCTCTTTTTTTTCTAACTTCAGGGCCTTTGAACTTGCTCTTTCCTCTGCCTAGCATAATGGCTTATTCTTTCATTTACGTTACATTGCTACTTAAATATCATCTTCTCAGAGAGAACTTACTATCAGCTCCATAAAAACAGGTGGTTTGTGTTGTTCCTGAAAATGTACCCTGGCCTCCAAATGTTCTTTAGCATGTAGTAAATACTCAATAAGTATTCCTTGAATGAGTTGTCAAGCAGAGTTATGAATGAATTGGTTAATGCAAACCTCCATTTTGTTAATACGATGTTATATGACAGTGCCTTTTAAAAGTATTAATGAGTTAGTAGTTTTTAAAACTGGTGAGATTTTGTATCAAAATTACAATTTTTGAGTTCTTTTAAAGCATTGAGGTATTTTTATATTTGGAGTCCATTAGCAAAAACCACCTGATGTTTATTAGCACCTCTTTTCACACAGTGATTCCCTTGGGTCTCACCATTCCCAGTTATCTGCCTGACACCAGTGACTTGCTTACACCTACCTCCCTTCCTGCTCTGTGTTATAGCCCTATAGGCTTTCAGGATCCTACGTGAAACTCATACTTGATAAGTCAGCCAACATCTGTCTCACATTTTTGTGTAAGTTTTCGTGTCTGATTTAGAAATGAAATGGATCCTATGTGCAGTTTTCAAGTCACATCCATAATGAGACACACATTTTAGCCTTTGGTGCTATTCTAGTTATAGAACAATCAACCCAGCTTGACAAACTAAAGTGAGTCTTGATTACTAAAGGACAGAAACACCCAACTGTGTTTCAAAATAGTTTTCACTTTTGGAAGGTTCTTTTTTATACTTTTATTTTAAAAAACTGTGGATTTGAAATATTTTTCTTTATTTTCAAAACCTCATAAACATTCAGTCCAGATGTTTACCTAAAGTGATTCATTTACCAGTGTGGGGCACACCCCTTGGTTCTAAGACAGACAACAACCACATTTAATAATGGATAGTTGCACAGTCTGCAGTCAGAAAAAGAGAGATATTTATATATAACAGCAAGAACTATGTTTTTGTTCATTGTATTGCTCATGTCTATATGTTCTAGAGGCATAAATATTTATCAAGCATCTGCTAGGTATCTAGGTATCTGCTAGGCAGTATTCTAGATAATTGAGCAACTCATATTCTGTGTTATACTGTAGGGGTCAAGATATCAAAAATTAACCAAATAAGTAAAAGTTATGGCAAATACAGTAGGAGTTGGAAAGTGCCATGGATAAAAAGGAAAGTGGAATATTCTAAGGGAAATGGGAAGGCCTGACTCATTACAGTATTTAATAATATGCTCCAAACAGGTCACATTGAAAAGAAGATTTGAGGAGGGCCAGAAAAAGGTGAGAGAGTTACCCAGTGGCTCAGTGGTGACAGAGCCTTCCGGAATAAGAGCTAGAGCAGATGCCTAAAGCAGGGTTGTGCCTAGGGTGTTCAAGAAGCAGCATGGCTACTTCACCTGCTTTATGTTTAGTTAAGTAAATTGCCTACAGTTAAAACAAGTGTATGAATGCATCTACTCTTCATAGAGAACTGTTTCATGCGGCAAGGGGCGGGGAATCTAGTCTTCTTAGCTGAGTATATTTACCATCTAGTTTTCAGTAAGCTGTGTCTTGATTTGGCCATGATCTGAGCTTTGAGAGTCTACGACAGTATGCATCAGTTTCCAGAGGGGACCTTAAGCAGCTGGCCACAGTTGGCCTCACACGGGAGATTCTGACTCAGCTAGTGTATATGGACAATGGATTCTGATAAACTGCTTTTGTATTACCCCCCCCATGCATTCTTCTATTGCATATTTTGAACACTAATGCCTTTCAAAGGGGTGTTAGTCCATGAGGCAAAGAATAAGCACCAAAATTTGTTACTCTTCTCCTCCAATTAATGACTCTGCTCAGATCTTCTCTTTCCAGTGTGACCTTTTGGGTCATATTATTGAACACCATGATCGTCAGGCCTTCCCAGCTCCCTCACCCTGCTCCACTTCCGTTTTTACCCATAGCACTTACCAACTCACTGCATGGCAGAGGATTTCCTGTGAGTATCTCCCTCACCAAGCTCTCTGTCCCCTCCTGCAGCTGCTGGCAGAAGACTGGCCGTTTGGAGTTGAGATGTGTAAGCTGGTGCCTTTCATACAGAAGGCCTCCGTGGGAATCACTGTGCTGAGTCTGTGTGCCCTGAGTATCGACAGGTAAGAACTTATTTTTCAGTCAGAGAGATCTTAAGCACAATGCTATCATTTGCTATGTTCTGTAGAAAATAAACTATGCCATTCAGTAAAGCCAAGCACCAGCATCCTCAAAATCGATTCTCATCTTTAGATATAGAGCCGTTGCTTCTTGGAGTCGTATTAAAGGGATCGGAGTTCCAAAATGGACAGCAGTAGAAATTGTTTTAATTTGGGTGATCTCCGTGGTTCTGGCTGTCCCTGAAGCCATAGGTTTTGATCTGATTACCATGAACTACAAAGGGCGTCATCTACGAATCTGCATGCTTCACCCCGTTCAGAAAACAGGCTTCATGCAGGTAAATCTTACTTTTATTTTCTCCTCTCTGCCCTTACCTCAAAAACATTTAGCTACTTGTCCCTGAACCCAATCAAATCAAAGCTATTGATTTGTTTCCTTGGCATAAATTAAGAGGATGGATCCCAGCACTGTAGGGTTAACCTTGACTAAAAAGTCGGATAGCAAGAATCAGGCCACTACTTCTCCGTGAACCCTTTGTGCCTCAAGGACACAAACCAAACTGAGTTCACATGAGAATCAGTGTAAGTTTATGGCTTTTCTGCCCAAAGCCCAATAAGAACTGGGTGCTCCCATGTACTCTGCATCAGACCACACAGCAGTTGTCAGATAAAAATGGTTCTGCAAATGTTCGTATAGATGCCACCTGCTATGAGTGGATTCTGAACGGCAAGCCTGCCCCTCTCTCTACCTTTGATCTAAAGGAAAGACTACCTTTGCAAGAAACTTTTCATCTTAGTCATTTATTAAAGAATGTTTAATCAGGAAAAGAACAATGACATTAGCCTGCACAAGACAGAAAGTATATGTAAAAAGGTCTTTTCAACAGAATAGGTAAAGAGAAGTTAATGCAAGGGAGGCAGGTCTATTACCGAGATTATTTTCTCATTTACATATAAGAAGACTATACAAAATTTTATGAACCATGTATGTCATAGGTAAAAGGATAGAAAGACATTAATAAGAAATTGAGAATGCTATTGTTTATTAGTAAAAAATGGGGGAAAGTGTTGCATAATTTATATAACTTCTTCTCAAACACAGATACAGCAGCAGATAGAGTGGAAACAGAATAAGAGAAAAGGCCTAAGTCATAAGCTCTTTGATTTTTTTGATTGACCTAAATAGTCACTGCAGACTTTTTCACATATGTTTTTCCATTCAACAGAGTTAATAAAAAAGGAAAACCTCACCAAAACACTAGGGTATCTTTATATATTCACATGTGTGTTTCACAGAAAGAAGATACTAAGTATCATTTGTTTATGTGGAGACAAACTATTAAATCCATAATACTTTCGATTCTGCCTAACTACTTAAATTTTATGCATAATTATATAGTACACCAGTACAAAGTACTGAAATGCTTTTTAGGAAAGTTTGTCCCATTTAATATACATATTTAATTATTTGTTTGTTGAGTAGACACAACCTAAAAGATCCTACACAATATTTCTAAAAGAGGATCTCCTTTAGAAGCTAACTGTTAAAAAAAAAGAAGCTAACTGTTCCTTGGTGAATATTTTCTTAAGCTGAATGTTTTGTACATAAGACTTTTTTAACAAAGGCACGTTAACCAGCAACATTATTTCTCCTGCATAGTTTTACAAGACCGCTAAAGACTGGTGGCTCTTCAGCTTCTATTTCTGCCTGCCATTGGCCATCACTGCCTTGTTTTATACCCTGATGACCTGTGAGATGCTGAGGAAGAAGAGTGGCATGCAGATTGCTTTAAATGATCACTTGAAGCAGGTGAGAAGATGCACAGAATGGGTGGCTTGCGGTTATAACTATGATTACGAAGATGAAAATTACAGTGGTTGATAATGAACTAAAAGCATGCATTACAGAATATTTATGTCCTTCTAGCATTTTTAAATCTTAAAGAATATTTCCCTATTATCTACTTAGAAATGTTTTGCATCATCTAGAGAGATCTAGAGAGTGACATAACTTTTAAAGGATGTAGTCGTTTCAGTTCTAATTTACAGTAAGTATTTAACTGAAAACTCTGTGTCCTGAGTGTTTACAGATGCCACTGATTTTTGCAAATAATACTAAACTTTCTGGCTGGGAAGGTGTACACTTTGAATATAAAGGAGTTCCTCTCAAGGCCTGCCTATGTTTTCATTTCAGAGGCGAGAAGTTGCCAAGACAGTATTTTGCCTGGTCCTTGTTTTCGCACTCTGTTGGCTTCCCCTTCACCTCAGCAGGATTTTGAAGCTCACTCTTTATGATCAGAATGATCCCAATAGATGTGACCTTTTGAGGTAAGAAAAGTAGAATAGAAATCAACCCTTTGGTAAGCAAGTATCACACAGAAGTGTTTCCATTGATCTCTTTCATAGGCAGAGACAGTGTCATTTTTCTAACCCTTAAGGACCAACTAAGACTCCCAATTTAGCCTCCCCTCCTATTTTAGAGAGAGGACTGAGGGGGACCTGTGAGGACCCTGGGAAAAAGAGGCAGAGCTGTCAAAATCATGAGCCGCTGACACGATTGAACATGTCATGTCTAAATCTCCTTCACACTTGCAATTGCTCCGCACCCAGTGCTCCCAGGGAGATTGGAATTTAAAAGGAAGAGTTGGGCAGAGGAGGGGAAAGCAGGGAAGAGGACAGAAAATGGGAGCCGGAGCTCACCACCAGAAAATTAGTGATAATTTCAGAACATCGGCCATGGGTAATTTTTTTTCCTCACAAAAACACAAAAGTTTACATGCTCAGAGCAGCATGTTTTTCACAAACATGTTTTGAGCTTTTAATCTGATTGCAGCTTTTTGTTGGTGATGGACTACATCGGTATCAACATGGCCTCCCTGAATTCCTGCATTAATCCAATCGCTCTGTATTTGGTGAGCAAAAGATTCAAGAACTGCTTTAAGGTAAGAGAATATTCCAATATAAAAAGCAATCTGTAGTCAGATGAGTGTGGTGATAAACCCCAGAACTCTGAGAAGCTAAGGCAGGAGAACAGCAGTCTGGAGCCCAGCCTGAGTAACTTAGTTAGAGAGACCCTGGCTGAAACTATCAAAAAAAAAAAAAAAAAAAAAAAAAAAGACAAGCCTGGGTATATATAGCTCAGTGGGAAGGCCTGGAAGTCAATCTCCAGTACAGACGGGAGAAAAAACTCTGCAAATTGACATCAAATAAAACCCTTCAAAACCATTAATATTTCTCTTTGAGGAGATCCAGTGAATTGCTTTTTAGATTCCTCTTGCTTTATATTATGGTTGACCTTTTTTTTTGAGACAGGGTCTCGCTATGCAGTTCAGACTGGCCTTGAGCTCACTTTGTAGCTCAGGCTGGTCTTGAACTTGCAACAATCCTCCTGCCTCAGCCTCTGGAGTGCTGGGATTACAGGTGTGCACCACCACGCCCAGCTTATGGTTGATTTTTCAAATATGTCTTTGACTTCTACATCATTATAGCTGAGTTTTGCCCATATATTTTAGCCAGCCACTCTCTGCTGACTCAGCCAATCAGTTAAACTCATGGAATTGCTCAGGAAATTAATAAAAATTACATGCATTGATGTCTGACAGATGTCACATAATAAAATAAAAACTACACATGATTAAAGGCACTGTTTCTCTGTTCTGGGAGATTTTGGGCTATTTGACAACAATCTATATTATAATAAGTCAGTCCCTTTCTCAAATGGCTTATGAAAATAGCAAATCAAGCAATGAAATTTGAATCAAGATCTACCTTTTCTTGACCATATTCAGTATATCACAGAAATGCACTGTTCCATGCAGAGTATGTCTAATCAGACATATGCAGGAAATGAGAATTTACCTGCTTGGCACTGAAACATCCCTCGTTCCACCCATTAGCTCCTTCAACAGTTCACTATGACATAAAATGCACCTTCCCTGTCGGTGAGGAGAACCCATTGCTCCTGGATCTCATTATGGGAAAGCTAAGAACTTGGCCTCTTTCTGAACTTTAAGACAGTCTACAAAATTCATTGGTTACTCATTATTCAGGTTTTAGGCCTAGAAGAAGATTTCTATCAAGAGCAACTTCCTTATTTTATAGAATAGAAAATGGTCAACCTCCTATTTTCTGGTACACATATTTTCTCAGAGAACAAATAAAATGAACAGAGCTTTGGATTTTAAAGATACAAGAGAAAAACAATAAAATTTTGCTACTGTTCTTTTTTTATTATTCTTTTTAAAATAAAAAAATAAAAATAAAAAACATCCAAGGGAAAAAAGTGAATGAATGCAACTGGGACACTTGCAGACTTTATACCCTTACTGTGCAACAATAGTTAAAAAGGCATGTGAGAAAAACATGTGGCTGAAAAAAACAGCAAAGTAATAGTGAATTAACTGTCATGGAATGATGTTTATGGCACTGTCAAGTGAGAGAAAGCAGGTTATGAGTATAGGGATAGTACAATCTCATTGAAACAAACTAGCCACCTCTGAATAACTGCTGTGAAGACAACAATATACAATGTATTAATTATTGTAACTCTCCTACTAACCTGTTTTGAAGCTCTGTTTCATTGGGTTTTGTTTTTTCTCTTTAAAATAAAAAAGAAGAAAAAAGCAAATGAACCACACATTCGTAAACACTTACAGTCATACCTGTGGTGATATTTCCATTTGCCAGACAGAAAGTTTTAAAAATCTATATTTATCAGCTATTAAGAATGCACATCAGGTAATTAAGAGTAAATATCAGGAATTAAGAGTATATCTCTCTAAGTAAGAAATATTAATTACATAATTTTTATTCTCTGTATTTTTAATGAACAAATTATCATACACTAATGTAATTAAATCATTTAGTGAACAAATTATCATGTACGAATGTAATTAAATTTTAAAGGGAAAAATAAGAGTGTGTGGAAAGAAAAAGACCAAGAGCTCCTAATCTTGTAGAGAAGGAGCCCTAGAGAGCAGGAAGAGCGGTGCCAGTGTGACTAACGCGGACGTGTAACGAGCTGCTTTGTTTTGTACAGTCATGCTTGTGCTGCTGGTGCCAGTCATTTGAAGAAAAACAGTCCTTGGAGGAAAAGCAGTCATGCTTAAAGTTCAAAGCTAATGATCACGGATATGACAACTTCCGTTCCAGTAATAAATACAGCTCATCTTGAAAGGAGGAGCATTCACTTAATCTCATTTTCTCTTTTGGACAGAAGTCATTAAAACAAAATGATATGTTTGGAAAAACAAAGCAAAAAACTGGGTTTGCACAAAACCGCATAAAAATGTAAGAAGGATCATTTTAGCACTCATAATTCCACCTGACATTTTATGGGCTGTTTATAGCATAAGAAGAAGTGGGAGTTAAGGAAGCCTCATTGTGAAAGCACTTAATTTTTTACAGTTAGCACTTCCATATAGCTCTCAGTAGCTTCCAGTTTATTCATACACCACTTACATTAAAAAAATGAGCTCACTCAGAATTCCTGTTGAAGAGGTTTATTCTTAAATCGTGTGAATCTGTATAAAGAGGAAATACGAAATTTTAAAAATCCTTCAAGAAACGACGTTTCTGCAAACAGAGCTATATCAATGGTCAGGGTGTAATTAGGTGCAAAGTGTACAAGCAGTTCAACCAGTTTACTTTTTGCACATTAGTAACAATGAAATGATCATGAAAAAATATTAGAAAGTTAAATCAAGACTGTTTATGAAAATCATTGCACTCTGCATTCACATTCAGATAAGATCAAAGAAGCAGAACTATCACAAAAGACTTCTTTGAACTCTGCCATTCACATCCTTTGCAAAGAAAGTGTACTATCTACAGTTTTGGAGACTATTAAAATTTTCTTTCACTCTTATAGTTTAAACCCTGCTTGTTTAGTTCTGTCATCTGTAAATAGTTAGCTGCATACACTACATGTAGATGATTAATGAAGGGCAGGTCCCCGTGTTCATAGCTCTACAACCAAGAGATGCCAGCGACTCCATAAAGGACAAAATGTGAATTGCCTGGTGCAGTCTTCACATGGCAAAAGAGCAAGGAGCGTCCTCTCTCACCCATGGTCTCTAGCATTTGCATATTACAGTTAAAATACTATTTTTCAAATCACAGAACTAACGGGCAATTTAACAGCAACCTGTAAGGCTTTATTACTAATTTTTATATTATTTTTGTAAATAACGAACAGAAAGGTGTCTGGAATAGTGTTTTTCTATCAGTTAGAGGTAAAATTGCTTCTTAGGACTAGGAAGCAATCTCTTTATCCCTTTAATTTGTGCATTCCTGCCTAACTTTTTAATCTCCTCAGCAAAGCGCCTTAGGTTAACTTGGGATGAAATGCGTGTGAAAATATGTACAAGAGAAACCAGAAGACAGAGGAAATGAGGTGGGGTGAGAGGAAACCCACGGGGACAGATTCTCATTCTTAGCCTGGAGTTCGTCACTGCCTCGTCACATCAATGCAAAAGGTCCTGATTCTGTTCCAGCAAAACACAGCACAGTGTTCTCAGACTGACTTTAGGAACAAATTAGACCCAAGAGCTTTAACTCTGTCTTAAAATATAACACAATTTCCAGTCTTTTTTTTATTTCAGTAAACCAGGCCACATGTTGAAAATAAGCTAGGAATGTTGCTTCCTGCCAGAATCTAATGTGATGCTACAGTAAACCAAAACCCAAAAATGTGGCCAAAAGGAAGGACAACAATTAATTCACATATCACATGGATTCTATTTACAAATCACCCCCAGTCTTATTTATTAATTTGTTCCCAATCTCTCTCTCAAATGCCTGTCATCATAAAAGATGTTCAGAATTTTAATTTTAAGTTAACTTTGGATCACTAACGTTTTCACATTTTGTGAATCCATCTTTTGCTCCTATTTAAGTTTTAGATCACTTAATTGCCATGGACTGAGCTTTTACATTCTAGTACCCTCTTCATTTACATTCTAATCGCTTTCCTTCTTCTTGGCAGAATCATGGTCTATAATCCCTTGCCAAATTTTAAACTTGCATATAAAAACTATTCATGCACTATTTCTAATGCAAATGTGTTCAGTAGCTTTTTAAAAACTGATTCAAAATGTTAACATGATGATAAAGGGTGATTAGAAACAAACATGATTTCTTTACATATGTAAAACCAAGATAAGGGGCTGGGGATTCAGCTCAACGGCACAGCGCCTGCCTGGCAAGCGTGAGATCGTGAGTTTGATTCCTGGTACCGGAAAAAATAAATAAATAAATAAAATAAAACCAAGATAAAACATGTTACCATTCAACTTAAGAACTATTTAATATAGCAATAAAATAGCATTCACATGGATGTTATGGTTCACAAGATTTATAAGTGGTGTTGATCTGTTTTCTCCTTTGTTACCTGCTACTTGCATGGGTATAAGTTCAAACACCTTTTAGTATCTGATAGCTTCAATATGGCCAAAGCAATATAGTTTATAACAAAACGTGGGGTTTACTGTAGCTAACCTTATAAAATTGTAACATAGCTCTGTACAAATTATATATTTTGTTCTGCTGTGGTCACTTAAAGTGGCAATGACTGTAGTCACTGTTTGCTTATTAGGTAAACAAAAAATAAATATGTAAATTTTTTTTTTAAATCCAGCTTCTTTCTCTATGAAGGCACTAATGCTTTAAATCTTGATTGATTAAATGTTTAAGGGAAATGCAGATCTTATAAATTGGCATTATGTTAAATTTACAAAGATCCAAGATATATGAAAGCTGTTAAATTAAAATACCACATTTCTGATCTTCGGACTGTGTTGTTTTTCTACAGACATTCAACCTTCTAAGGCTGATCATCTGTTTGGTAGTTTCCAATGGACTCTAAGTCTTTCTTTCTGGGGTTGTCTGTTTTTGGAGCATTTCACTATTTAATCATTACTGTACCACAGTCAAAGTTGAAAGGTTGAAATGAGATTTGTGAATTTCTCATTTCAGTTCATGAGTCTTTTAGTGTTTACTATGTACTAAGTGGCATGAAATTATTACAGGTTGAGCACTGCTAATCAGAAAATCTGAAATGCTTTAAATTCATACCTCCTTGAATACTGATACAATGCCAGAAGAGGAAAATTCCATACTTGACCTTATATGATAGGTTGCACTCAGTACTCAAATGCACTAAAAATATTGTACAAAATGAACCTTCAGATATGTATGTATGGTATATATGCAACAAATGAATTTCCTATTTATACTTGGAAGCAATCCACAATACATCTAATTATGTATAAATATTCCAAAATAAAAACAAATCTAAGAGAAATGCTCAAAGATAGAAAGAAGTGGGGGAGAATAAATAAAATATTGGGAACCACAAACTCAAGAAGAATAGATAGAGAGGAGAAATTCACAAGAATCTGCAAGTGACAAGGAAGACCAGTGTCCTGAAAGTCAAGAGTAAGGGAACACAAACGAATAAGCAGAAGGAAGACCACAAGTTCAAGGTCAGCCAGGTCAAATCAGCAAGACGCTAACTCAACACAACAAAAAATAAAAAGGGCTGGAGATGTAGCTCAGTGGAAGAGTGCCCCTAGATTCAATCCCTAGTACTGAAAAAAAGAGAGAGTAGACTAAGGATTTGAATACAATAGATATATAAAAGTGAAATTTGAAAGTGGCAACTTGCAAAACATCAAGGACCTTGTCTAGAGCAGTTTGTGTGTATGCATGTGCAGTATGTGTGTGCATGACAAAAATATATTTTCTTAACTAGTATTCATTCAATACTAAAAATATATTTTATAAGATTATTGTCACATTATCATTACGGAAGAATAGGCTTCTATAAATACAATGGATTAAACATATTTTTATTCACCTGATAAAACTCCACTAAAAGGGCAGAAAAAATTAAAAGGTATAACTCTACAAGCACAGAGATGAATGCTATCAGCCAACTAGAAATGTGAACAAAATTGTGCATATAAAAAAGACAGAGGTAAGAGACAATTTACTCAGATTTCTGCTTTCTTTTTTTTTTTTTTTTTCTTTTGTTTGGTTTTTGTTTGGCTTTTTTCTGGTACTGGGAATCAAACTCACAACCTTGCGCTTGCCAGGCAAGCACTGTGCTGCTGAGCTAAATCCCCAGCCCCCAGATTTCTGCTTTCTCTATTAAGATCCAAAATGTGTCATAATTCTGAATACATTCAGGAACTGAAGATAGCTGGTATCTTTAAAGTCAAGAGACAGAAAAGAGGACAAAAACAAAATATTTGATTAAAAGTCCGTCAGACCAGAGCCTTGCTTCCAGAACAGCCACGTGTAACTGGTGACAGCTGCTAATCAGCTAGAAAGGTAGCTCATTTTCTTTCATTGAGATTGTACCAGGTTATCTCTGAATCCTGGGCTTGGCTACAGCAAGGGCAGCACATGGTGAAAATGTGGCACAGTCTTGGAATCACACTGAGCAATCACACCTGTCTCACAGTGAGATTTCTGGCCCTCATTCCAACATGTCCAGGCATAAGAATGAAGATTCTCTTCTAAGAAAGTGAAAAACCCCACCCTCAAGCATACACCAAAAAACCTGTAGACATCAGCAGTGAAGATAAACAGGGTTTCTCACCAAAACGGACTGTGTGCCACACATATGTATGGAATTTCAAGTTGCCTCTTAATATCACATTTTTAAATATGAGTGAGTAGGGAAATGCCAGTAGACATTTTAGAAACAACAGACCTGAAACAAACAGAAAAAAAGAAAAAACCCATAGATTGAGAAAACAGAAACAGTACACGGAACAAAAAAGAAAAGAGACAACTTTAATTACTTTTCCCAGAACCATAAGAAACAAGAAGCAAAACCGAGATATTAATGAACAAAAGAAGCATTCAGGAATCAAGAAACTGCTCCAGGGAAAATGAAAATATGTAACAAGGAATAAAACACCATAAAAGTTCCAAAGGTCAAAATCAAGAAGAAGTAGAACGTGGACTAACTGAACTAAAGTGTACTTCAGCAAACTAAGAAAGGAAATTAAAGAATACAGGAAACAGGTGAATCCAACACAGGAAAAAGGCAAAAGCTATTCCCAAGGTGATGGGGGTGGGGGTAAGTCTTCAGTCTGTCTCAAAGCAATCAGTCCAGTTAGGAAAAGAACAGAGGAAGGATATCTCCAAGAAAAAAACAATAGAAGATAGAGGTTGCCTGGCATAGTTGATACATTTATGAGTCTGTATCTTTATTAAAGTATCTGAGTATACATGAATAAATGATTAGGCATATAGAAAAGCAAACAAAATGTAAATAGATAATTGTTAATCTTCCCCAAATTCTTTCATATATATATATATAGATAGATAGATAGATAGATAGATAAATGTTTTGGATATAACCAAATTTACCCTGTAAAAAAGATTATTGTAACCTAAAATGTGATACAAATAAATTGGAAGGAAAGTGTGTTTGGTGATTATGGGATAAGAAAACTTATTTAAATTTATATAATAAAAATCTAATACCCACTTTAGGAAACACTTGCAGATTAATCTAGGAAAGATAAAAATACGCTTCTCCTAGGATCAAAAAATTCCATTTGTAGAGACGCTGCTGTATGTCCAGGATATAGATACCAGGATGGTCACAGAAACATGGTTTGTATCAGCTGAAAAATGGCATCAGCACAGATTTTAATAGCAGTAACTTAAGTAACTAAATTTTGGCACAGCTATACAATGGAATGTTTTACAACAGGTCGCTCAACCTCAGCATTATTGAAATTTTGGTCCAGTAAACTGTTTATCGTCTACAGTGTTGTGTACACCGTGGGATGTTTACCAGCATTCCTAGCCCCTTCCCACTAGACACTGGCAGCACACGTTGTAAAAACCAAGTTGTAAAAACCAAAATATTTCCAGACAGTTCAAATATGTCCTGGGGGAAATCTCCCACATTGAGAGCTACGACACTGTAGTATGATTCCATTAATACAAAATTCAAAATCTGCCAAAACCAAACTATATTTTGTAGGGATGCATAAGTAGTTGATAAAAATGAAGAAAAGCAAGGAAATTACTATAGAAATACAGACCTTGGGAAACAGGGGACAGTTTTGACTTAGGAGACATATGAGATGTGATCAAAATAGACAGTGAATATTTAAATTTTAAAATTTGTAAAAGACATCTTGCCACTAATCTCATTCAAAATACTCACCTTTGCTTGGAGCACATCCCATCGTTCCTGCTACTTTCTGAAGCAGTTCTGGAAGTCCATTTTCATGGATCACAGCCTGTGCTCCACACATCCAGTGAATGCTGCTGCAGGGTGCAGGAAAAAAGGCAGGCTTCTGGAAGCATTTTAATGTGGCCTTATTTACCTTACTCACCCAGATTTGGCACCATGCAAGTTCTGGCTCTTCCCCAAAGTCAAAAACCTTAGCAGGTAAACATTTTCATTAAAGTTAGGACATCAAGGCAGACAGGATAATACAACCAGAAGTACTCACAAAAGAGAACTTTCAGAACTGCTTTAGAAAATTGCAAGAACGTTAAGATAAATGTGTTCAAAGTGAGGGTGGTATTTTGAGAGAGGTGAATGATAATGTATCTTTTACTGTGACAAATTTCTTAAATTTAAATATCCACTTTATTTTTTATTCAGACCTTGTACATAAGTCTCTTCTGGCCTTGGAGCACTATTTATGATTCCCTACTATTTTATTAATTTATATAGTTATTTTACATATTAATACATATTAGTATATAGTGACTTTAATATATTATACAACATATTTTATATACTTATACCTTTATAATTTTTCTTTAAATATATATGGCATTTCTTATGTGCTATATTTCATAATTTAAAAGTAATATAGTATAGGAAGTGTATAGGTAACATCTAATTGAAAAATTAAGAAGTAACATTAAAAAACGTTGCTTAGAAAGACAAAAAAATTCTGATAAGACTCAGAAATAAAAGAAGAAAAACAAATCATCAAAAAGGAACCAAAATGAAAATACTTTCTGACTTTCTCCCTTCTCAAAGATTGCTAATAAATATATAGTGTGAAAATGAGCTGAAGAATGGGCATGAAATCAATCCCATCTTTTCCACTTGCAGATATGAATAATCTGATTTCATAAAACTGTTAATTATAACTTACAGCTCAGAGTGTGGCCTACATATAATCAGGTCTTTTAAACTGTGTAAGTTGAACAATGAAAGAAACTTTTCTAACCATCCCTCCTCTACCTTAATACACACACACACACACACACACACACACGCACGCACACGCATGCACGTGCACATGCATAAACAGGCTCTCCACCTCAAACTCCATAAATATTTTTACAGCCATCACTGGATTAGAAAATGAAGCCCCTTCCTTTCTCCCAGCAGGAGCCTCTTTCATCTAACAGGTTGCAGCAACCTGGTTTTCTAAATTAAAAATGTCTCTTGAAAATTCTGTAAAGCCTCTGATACATAATAAGAAACAAACATTCCCTCCTCTCCATGCATTCAGACTGGGGCACTCTATTTTGAGGTGAGCAATGAAGTTTTTGGGGGGATTTTTTTGGGTTTTTTGTTTTTTGCGGTACCGGGGATCGAACTCAGGATCTTCACTTGCCGGGAAGAAGCTTATGCCACTGAACTATATCCCCAGCCCCTGAAGTTTTTTTTTGTTTTTTTTGTTTTTTGGTTTTTCTCCGGTACCGGGAACAGAACTCATGACCTTGCACTTGCCAGGCAGGTGCTTGCCAGGCAGGTGCTTTGCTGCTGAGCTAAATCCCCAGCCCTGCCC